AAAAATGAGGTAAAAATTTCGTTCCATAAGCACTTTAATTTAAAATATCTTCAAAATATATAGCACGGGGTTTACAGATTAATACCTTTGTGTGCATGGGATTGCAATTGTGAGGGTGGGCAGCTCCAGAGGTTTTTTATGAAAATATTAAAACAATGCTCAAGACAAGAGTTTTTATTGTCAAATGTCAAACTTTTAAGCAAATAAATGATACTACAGCAATGAGTACCTGCAATAGAAAGTCCAAACATTGCCATCCTTCGTTCAATTGTCCGTTGGCTAACTCCGATCACCTTGCTTATATCGGCTACTTTAAATCCCTTTTCTACAAGAAATGATAATTGGTCTTCCTTGATATCGAAACTTGGTCGGCCTCTCCTTCCACAGTTTACTACTGGCACTGTTTCGCTACATTCTGGGTTCCCGTTGTTTGCTTGGTCAAGATTAAACAAAATATTTGATGCTTGTTGTACACGTTCAACAACTGAATCATCGACATCCAAATTCACGAGCAACCGTTGGAGATAGTCTAGTTTTAATAAAAGTCTTTGGAAATCGATCGAAGTATCTCCTGACTGCATAAATCTATCAAGGATATTAATCACGCTATGAACTGCGTCCAACAGATATTGTTTGTCATCATCGTCCATTTTGCTCGACTGTACTATAGTATCAGTGTATTTTAATTATACCATAGATTACATGAAGAATTTTAGGAAATAGAACATCGGTAGCAAGCCCGCGATATATGGTCACAAAACGAGCCCGCGATCCATGATATATTAGTGGATTGCGGTTGGAAAAAAAAAGTTGTGTTGAAAAAAAAAGTTGTGTTGCAAATAAAAAGTTGTGTTGAAAAAAAGTTGTGTTGAAAAAAAAAAGTTGTGTTGAAAAAAAAAGTTGTGTTGAAAAAAAAAGTTGTGTTGAAAAAAAAAGTTGTGTTGAAAAAAAAAGTTGTGTTGAAAAAAAAGTTGTGTTGAAAATAAAAAGTTGTGTTGATTATTACATGTTGTGTACAAAAAGTTGTGTTGCAAACAAAAAGTTGTGATGAAAATAAAAAGTTGATTTTTGGCGGGGATGGGACACCATACATTAGAATCTTTTGTCTGGAACACCAACATGGCCGCCATGACTTTTGTTGAGTTGGTCCCTGGGGAATGAGTGCAAACGCTCTATACAATTTACTGTTTACAGTTGAAGTCATATTTCAAGGTGTTATGTAAATTAGTAATTAACCAGTAGAATTTATTATATCCGTAATACCTAGCCATTCAAGCAACACAATGAACAAAGAGAATACTACATGGATCAAAGAACGACTCGTATGAGTCCAATACAGGAAGATATGCTTTGATGAAAGAACGAGATGAACAAACAAATGAAAGAAAGTGATGTTGATAAAGTGTCGGAATAAAGTTATCAGAAATGGATTTGCTCTGAAACAAATTTGAATCATACCTAATTTTAGTGTGCAGTGATAACCAATTTGTGCAGTGATAAAAGTAAAATGTGCAGTGATAAAATGTAAAATGTGCAGTGATAAAATTTGCTTTGATAAGTTGTTGATTAACACAAGAGAATGATTCAATTGAAATTGAAATGATGACTGCCAAATTAGCAAATTAAATAATAGTATGTTTTTTGTACGAAAATCATGAGATTCAGGCAATTTTTAGTTAATATCTGGCTTTTGGTATGTCCGGAAAAAATTTTTGACCCTTAAAATGGTACACTGATCAAATTTTTTTTGGCGACGGGGGGGTGGGGTCGCCAAAAATTTCCGAATATTCTGAAATTTTCTTAGTCATTCGGAACTTTTTGGCATAAAATGTGCAGTGATAAAAAATTCTTAAAATTAGGTATGATTTGAATCTTTTTTTAGTACCAACTAGAATACCAACATTCAGAGTTCTAGTATCCCCTCTTAGAATCCGGCAACCTATACTTCTGGATTTTGGTTACTACAGGTGGTTTTGGCGGCATAAATTCCTCAATCCTGACCGTCCAAATATGTAAACAGTATGTGCCTTTTATTGTTACAAATTACAATAACAGCATAAGATTCACAAATCAGTACAAGTTGGTATCAGTATGCACTATGATGCGCATTAACCTTTGAAAAACTTCTGATCTTTTTTACCCCTGTCATTATAGCTTCATTACTTATGCATAATTAATACACAAACCTGCCCACTTTTGTGACCAGTGGACGGTTCTATAGTAGCCTGCAGTAGAGCTGTGCGGTTAACCAAAAAATTCGGTTCTTCCGCTACTTTTTCAGCACCGAAAAACTATACGCAAAAGACCGCTAGTTTCGGTTTTAATTTCCCGTTTAACGCCCAGCTGATTGCAGGTTTTGAAATGCTTGTGTGATGTTACTCTGAGTGTGTACGGTATTCACACCGGGCAGGCTTGAAAAATATGCCTGGCCACGGTGGGATGCCTGCCCTGTGTGAATACACACTCAGAGTAACATCACACAAGCATCTAATTCACCTGAGTACATTACACCAACACAGCAATATCAGGTTTTGAAATGTTTGGAAAATAACAAGATTGTGCTCTTTGTACACAATATGCACTGTACTAAGTGCTCAAATAGTTGATACTTTAGTTGTGATAGTTATTTTTGTGAACTTACTTTAAATTTTTTTAAAAACTAAGAAATATTACATCTTCATAAATAAATTCCAATTGTTCTTTTAAAATATTCAGAGATTTATACAAACTTTATACAAAGGCATAAATTCATCTATTTAGTAAAAATGCTCGAAACATACATAAATGAGTTCATACATTTGTACTGTTCTTCTTTTTTGAAAATAACCGAAACCGAACCGAGGTTTTCTTGTTCCAAAAAACCGAAACCGAGATCAAATTTTTGGAACCGCACAGCTCTAGCCTGGCAGGCTCTCTGTACAGGCTAAAAAAGCATAGTTAATAGAATAGATGGTTTTAAAACTCATTAGAATAACAATTTAACTCATCATCTATGTTAGTCAACGTTTATTCATAAATCTGGTCGTTCTCCGTCACGTGCGTATTGTATTTTTGCCCAACTAACCAATAGCAATGTCTTAATTTAAGAAAGTGCTATTGGTGGATTTGGCAAAAATACAATACACACGTGACGGTGAAGGACCAGATTTATGAATAAACGTTGACTAAATATAGATAATGAGTTATATTGTTATTCTAAATAAGTTTACAAACCATCTATTCTATTAACTATGAAAAAGGTAATCGAACTTCAGCGCGCTATTGCATCTAAAATACTCTGTGTATGACCGAGATTTTTACATATTCGGAAAGATCAGGCTTTTATCTGTCGAATGATATCTTCTTCATGCGAAATGGATAACAAATTAGCAAATACGCATGAAAAACATATCATTCCATAGCTAAAAGCCTGATCTTTCCGAATATGAAAACATTTTGTTGATACGCCGAGTAATAGTGCGGCGAACTTCGAGTTGTTTTTATACGCCCCGTATAGGACCATTGTGAAAATTAGTGCCCCGTTTTTGTGCGTAGTATGAAGTCCATAATGGCGCAACATCATCATGTTTCGCGCATAAATATATTTTTCTTTGATCTTAACTCCAATCAGAGAAAAAACCCGTGCGCCAAAACATGCAGATGTTACCCGAAGGGTCATTGGAATTAGCGATGGGCGATTACTTGGTATCGATAGCAGGCCCAAACAGGAAGTAGTCGATACTGCACGGTATCGAAAAAGTGTTTCGATGACTTTTAAAATTAGACATTCATTATAACCCTTTTCATGGGGTTATTTCTAATAAAATTTATGTACTTTTTTCTATTTTGCTGCATTTATCAATTTAAAGATGCTGTAAAGTCCGTTCTGCGCATATATTCTGCGCATCAACACATTCCATCAGTGGGGGAGCAACCTTTGAAATGTTGTTAATATTTCGCACCTTCCGAACTTTCTTGAATTGAATCTCTAGTCTGCATTCATTTACAAGCATAGCGAACCTGAAGAGTGTTGAAAATTCAGTATAATATATATCTAATCATATTTTACAACTGTAGCACTGAGTTGAAAATGTAAACAAAGCGTTTGTTTACATTACGGACTTTACATCACCTTTAATCAAACTTCTTTTACTTTACTTGACATTCTATCCACTTCTCTTGTTAATATTGCTGACCTCGCCGACAGAATAAACAAAGAAAAAGGCACGAAATAAATTAATTTTTTGGATCAAATCGTTACTGTTCAAAATATATAACTTTCTGAAAATATATCGTTATACTGTTACACTAGAAGGCTACTTCTTTAACAGTCGGCTCTTTATGAAGTGACTTACATTTATTATTTTGAAAATTGGAGGAAGTAATTAAATCGTTTGGGTAATCTCTATCGAATCGACACTGGTGGTATCGCCCATCACTAATCATTGGAATAGCTACATATGGAATAGTTATGCACAGCATTGATCTTTAAAACAAATTTTAAATTAGTCTATATACACTAGAATTGTTATCTGGAAGGACTATGATTGGACCGCGATGGTGTGGTGGGTGAACTGTGAGTACTTTGTGCCCGACCTTCATCGCTGACTGAGACTTCGTGATCACTGAATAACGGATTCACAACAGTCATATCACCAGTCTAAAAGGAAACAAACGTATACCGTGCATGAACTTGGGCGTAATGTGACAATGAATGTGTGAATTATGAATGTGTTATGAAAATTAATAATTCATGAGGAAAACACAAAGAAAATCCGTGTCGTATCTTAATATGTGACAGAGATTTCCCTTGATTTATATAAACTTTAACTTTGATTTTCTCGAATTATACAACGTAATTTTGAAAATTACTTCGCCAATGGCAATGAACTAGTGAGATCGATCGTTTTTTAAGCAATTTCAAACATTCGCCAGTGCGTGTTTTATCACACCTAAAGATACTCGGCTTCGCCTCGTATCTTCATATCTGAAGTTTCCAAACCTAAACTATCTATAATTTTAGGGGCAATATATGTTAATATCAAAAATTGGGTGAGAAATAACTGAATTCAAAAAATATGTGGAGCTATGTATATGAGATCATGCACATGTTGATGTAAAAATACTTTCAATGCCTGCTCATATCACGCCTGGATCGGACAGATTATGTTTCAAATTTCTACGTAACAAACAAGATCTTAATGAATCTCATTTCCAACTTGGCACACTTCCGCCTTTTTCTTACATTTGCTCTAATGCGTTCATGCCTAACAACAAATTGGCAGTTTTTATAAATCCCATCTCATCTCATACATAATTCCTTATATTTCTTGCATTTTTAATAGAAAAATTACCGGTGCCAGGCCAGGACATTCATACACTGTATAATCTTCAGCTTCAGCTTCATCCTCTTCATCATTACTCAAAGCACCAGAACTGAGGTGATCACTCTTCGCTCTAATTAATACAACCATTGCTCAGTTTTAGAAATTTCATACGTGTTCTCAACTCGTTCTAACTTCTACTTCAAGAACAATTAATTGCTACTCCTTATACTTACGGCCATTACGGCCATATGGAAACCAATCTCGTTCCCCGAACCTGCAATCCTCGGGAAGGAACATAAGGGGCTCTCGAATAATCTGTTGCCGGAAGCCAGGAATCCTGGCTAAGACCGAACTGCGCATTCCATATCAACGGCCAATCAGATATTCCTCCCTGAAACGAATTATCCCAGAGCCTCACGTTCCTTCCCGAGGACCGCAGGGAACAAGATTGTATGCATGGAAACCTGATTTTAGCTGCATAAACTGGTGTATATATATATATATATATATATATATATATATATATATATATATATATATATATATATATATATATATATATATATATATATATATATATA